TAAAGTGAAACCATAATGTACCTAAGGTATGAAATTAGAAAAATAACATTTTCTGATAGCAAATTAACAAACTGTGGAGAAGCAAAATAAAATTAGGTCAGGATCTCCCACAACCCCACCCCCAGGGTCGGACAGCCCTTTGTGCCCGCACACATTTCAGCGGCTCATTCCAGGGCAGCATCCCTGAGTCACCAACCGGCACGCCCTTCACCTGGGGGTGGGGGTGGGGGTGCGTCTAGTCCGTGGGGGCCCTGGGTCATCCTCAGCTTGCAGCTCTGGCTTGGGAGGATGAGGCACACGGCGGGTGGGCTGTGGGGTGGGTGCCTTGGGCCCGGATCTGCCTCCAGCCCCTGCACTCGCTGCCCCACAGGAGGAGCGGACCTGCACAAGCGCCTTCGGCCGGTTGGGCCGTCAGCGCTTCCTGTTGGTCGACTGCAGCCCAGGCCCAGAGCGCCAGCAAGAGGTGAGCCACTGGCTTGGGCACATGGGGCCTCAGTTTCCTCGTCTGGAGAATGGGTTGATCAGGATCAAGCCGTCCTCCAGGCCAGTTCTCAGGGATTCTGAGGACGGCGGTCATTTGGCACAAGGGAGGGGCGAGACCGGTGGTTGGGGCCGGAGGTACTGGGAGCCGCACCTGCCTCCTGGGCAGGACGCTGACTCTTGGGAACCGACCCTCCTCTCCAGCCCACACTTGGGGCGACGACACCACGGAGGGGCAGCCTCCCGGCCAGTGAGTGGAGAGTGAGGGTGGGCGCGAGTCCCGAGGCCCGAGGCCCAGGCCTGCCCAGGCCCTCTGGGCGCACCTCCAGCCCCAGTACCAACGGCTGCCTGGGCCGCAGTCTCTTCATCGGCCTGGAGAGGAGCCCAGGCAGGACGGGAAGGGGGTGACAGTCCGTGAGGGCGAGGAGCGGTGACCACAGTGTCCCTTCTGCAGGGCTCGCCGGAGCAGCCGGAGCAGCCGCCCGCTCCACCCCCCGAAGAAGCAGCTTCAGACATCGACCGCTCCAAGCTGCCCCCTGTGGCCAGGAACCTGTATGACAACGCCAGGAATGACATCATCAACAACCTCCTGAAGAATTTCTAGGGCCGGGAAGGAGGGGAGGCCCGCATCCCAGCCATGACCTCCCCTCCCACCGCCCACTCCCTCGGCGCCCACAGCACCCCCTTTGCTGCGTAGTCCCCCACACGCCTCTGCTTCCACACACCTGCTGCCCTCTGCTCGAACGCCTGCCCGTCCTGTATCTAACTCCTACTCACCCTTCAAGCACAGCTCCAAGGCCACCTCCTCCAAGAAGCCCCAGGCTTGCCCCCAGCAGGTGTCCTTCCCTCCTCAGAGCATTCAGGAACCTCAGACCACGCCGGCGTGACCTGCTGTGCCCCAGCCGGACGCACCCTGTGTGCGCACAGCTGTGCCCGCCGGCGCTGGACAGGGGTGGGGGAATGGGTTTCTCAACCAGGTGCTCCTGCGAGCACAGTCCTTCTGCAGGACCCGGCACCCCCGCCCCCGCCCAGGCCCTTCACATCCGCAGGCGTTGCCACGGGGTCAGCCCATCCTCAGGGGAGAGGCTCAATAAAGCATTTCTGACAGACGACCGAGTGCCTGTGTGAATGAATGAAGTGTTAGCTGGGCCAACTGGACTCGGGGCGAGGAGACCCATGAGGCAGGCCCCGGGGCGATTCCACTCGTGTCATGGTCCTTGGGGTCAGGACAAGGACGATGGAGAGCACACGGGATGCGGGCGGAGGGGGCGTGTGAGGCCCTGGAGGCCCAGGGGGGCAGTCATCGGCGCCTTTAGTTCCTTTACGCCTCCCCCTCATCAGAGCTCCAGGCAGCACCTCTTCCTGACCCCGACTTTATGTATCAGACGCCTCCTGGGCCCCCCTGCAACGTCCAAAGAGTGTCACACACTCAGCAGCTTCCCTCCATCCATCCCAGGGCCACCGCCTCACCCCCGCCCCGACTGGCGCCCCGGCCCCGACTGGCGCCCCGGCTCGGCTCTCACCAGCCTCGGTCCCGGCTTGGTCTTGGCCACCGATGCACCTGAGCTCCTTAAGGAGAAAACCTCTCAGGAAGCTGGCCGTGGAGCCCGGAGATGCCAGCAGAGCGTCCGGTTCCCTCGCACCCCCTGGGCGTGTGATGTTCGCTATCTGAGCAGCAGCAAAAGCCGCGTGTGCGCCGCGGGGGGAAGGGGAGAGGGCTCCGTGCCAGCAAGGGGGGAGGCCAGGGCCTGGCAAGAAGGGCACTGAAGCGCAGCAGCCGCTCCCGCGATGGGGTGTCGCTCCCCGGAAAGGGCGTCCCCACCCGAGGGGCCGTGACCTTCCCCACAGCTCGGAGCCCGCAGCCGGTGCGGGGGCGGGACTGTCCCCTCAGGCGGCCTTGACCTGGGCGCGGGATGACCTCAGCCCGACGGTGAGCCGGCCAGGCGTCTGACGCGGGGGCTTTATGCCAGCTGCCCTCTCCGTGGGCCCCCCGAGGCGGCCACGTGGGCATCAGCACGTGTTCATGTGCGAGCACCTGCTGGTGGGGGGTGCGGGGGACGGGCATCCCCTTCCAAACTCGAACACGGAACGCGGCCGCCTGTCCCCACGCAGAGGGCGAGCCCGACCCGACGCCGACTTGTGGGAAAGCGTACGTTTGTGTCCAGACCCAGCACCCGGGGTCGGGAAGACAGGCCCGGGCCGTGGCTGCCCGTGGAGTGAAAGGGAACGCGGAGTCCACTCTCCACGGAAACTGGCCCGCCCAGGGCGTCGGGCTCGGAGGGCCCGCACGTCTGTCTGTGGTCTGAGAACTTCCGTGAAGCTGGAGGGAACGGGGAGCAGTGACGCAAGGAGGCCGGCCTGGGGTGAACGCCGTACCACACACCCACGAGGCAGTGCCCCCTGGAACCCATACAGCTTTAGTAACCAATGTCACCTCACCGAGTTCAATTAAGAAAATAAACTAACGAATGTTCCAGTGACTACGTGCACCACAGCCACGCGCCTCTGGCCTAGAGTGGGGACCGGGAGCGGGAGGCCTGGCCGGGTGTCAGCGGCCACAGGCCACGGGGCTCGGAGTCCGATGGCAGCGAGGGGAGGGCGACCCAAGAGAAGCGGTGGCCTGGACAGGAGCACGCAGGCAACACGCCAGGTCGTCTTCCGCATGTTTTTCACCAAAACCCATTCGTATAAAATGCACGCGTCTTTCCAAAGACTGCTTTTGCTGTATCTGGCTGCTTCCTTATTTTCACAGCATATTTTTACTTTGTTCTGTGTTTTTCAATGAATCACAATAAAAATATGATTTGCTTCTAATAGTATTTAAAAAATGAATCAGGAAAGGGCAAGACGACAGAAGTGTGCTCTTTATTTCTCTTTGGTTTCTTAACACATGCGCTCTATAAATAAAAGGGGGGGAGACTTCCTGGGAAACAGTAAATGGGGCGGGAGGAGGAGGACCTCTCCCTGCTCCCGTCTTCGTGGCCAAGTCAGAGGCTGGTCTTCAGCTCCCATCTCGGCATTGATCGCAGGTGAAACGTGCTTTAAGGGGAAATGCCCAGGTCACAGGTCACAGGTCACAGCTCACAGCCTCTGCTCCGGGCTGGGCGAGACCCGAGGCCCTGAGCGCAGCTGTCCAGCCTGGAAACCCCCTTGCACGTCTCCGGGTGATGGCTCTCCTCACCGTGCTACTGAGAAGGCGCCGGCACCTAAGGGCAGACCAGCTGCTGGCAAACATCCCCCTCGGACTGAGGGGCTCAGAGTGTAGACTGTCGGGGCGTGCACCTGCGTTGAGCCGGGCCCAGGCCTGGCTCCCTCCCCTGGGAAGCGCTCTCAGCCAGCAGTGCCATGTCGCCGGGGAGGCGGGAGGGACGCGGGAAGGGCCTACAAGGGCAGCAGGTCTCGGGAAGTGAGCCACCCCCAGTGGCAGCCTCCGGGCCAGCCTCCTAAGGACCGGCCAGGCCCCCTCCTTGGCCCACTGACCGGTTCTTAGCGCCGTCGCCGTCAGGCTTGTCAGTGCTACTTCAAGTTCACAGAAGAAGGGGCTGAGGAGAATCAGAGGCCCACCAGACACCGCTCTCCACCAGGAATGCGGACCGCCCCCGCGGCCACCTCCCACCTCGGGGCCAATGAGAGGGTGGGGAATGTCCGAGCTGCTCCAGGGCTCAGCTCAGCCGTATTGATTGTTGTCGTTAAAAATCATGTTCAAGTGCTTGTCCCAGAGGCCCAGCGCCCAAGTGGCAGGCACAGGGCATTCCCTCCGGACACCTGGCGACTGCTCACCCTGCGAACCTCGCGGGCGGAAGACGACTCCGGCCCCACACTGCTCCCCGCCAGGCTCCCAGCCCCTGGGGCCGCCGGGAGACGGGGACCGAGGCCCGTCCTGCACTAAATACTGGCAGCAGGCAGAACACCAGCTCTGGCAGCAGCAGCTGAAGGACGGCCCCCCTGCCCCGCGCTGGTGACCCAGGGGGCTCCTGTGTGCCCGTGAGGTCCCATCAGGGAGGAGGGGGGAGCAGTGTCCTCGAGCCCTTTGCTCAATCGGGGGAAGGACTATAAGCTTGTTCTTGGCAGCGGCAGGAGTCCCCCGGCCCCGACTCTTCACTTGGGAAAGCCGGCTCTGCGTGCGAGTCGAGGTCAGGACAGACGGGCAAGCGAGAGTCTGGCCAGACCGACTGCTTCCTGCTGGTCGAATACGGAAGGAACGAAAGGAGGGGAGGGGAGCCGAGTGAGCCAGGGTGGCCGTGGGCGACCACAGGGGCACCGGGAGCCTCCAGCAACCCGCTGGGCGCTCCCCCTGCAGGAGCTGCGGTCGGTCAGCCGCGAGGAGTCCTCTGACGGTGGGTGTGAAGACAAGCGAGAAGCACCTTGCAGGGGCCGGTCGGGCGCGCATTCGACACGCGGGGCCAGAGGGAACCCCGCGCTGTGCGAGGCTCAGGACCGGACCGGATGTGGGAGCCGTCACCACCCTCTACGTTGTGGGTGGTTTTCTGTTTAAACACATGATTTCCTTTTAGTGGCTCTTTTTTTTAACATTTTCTTCTCGCAAAAAATGTTTACTTAAAAAAAAGGTATTTTTCTTTCCAGTTTCTTTCGAGTGTTTCTTTAAATTTCCTTCAGCTTCTTTCAAGTATCTTTTTTCCTTCTGTTTCTCCCAAATAAGATGAAAGAGACCTCCTGAGACCCCAACAGCAGACAGGAGAGCTTCTGTGCCCTGCTCTCCCAGGAGGACAAGGGCCCTGCCCAGACGGAAGGAGGCGCCTGGCGAGCCCCGGCCCAGGCAGCGTCTCCACAGGCGGCGGCGAGAACTCTCCGAGTGTCGTCCTCTCCCAGCCACACCGCTTCCAAGACATGGCCACTGCGGCTGCCGGTCAGACCGGCCGCTCTGTGGCCGGAGAACAGCAGGCGAGTGTCGGATGGAGCCTCCTGCCAGGCTGGCTCGGAGCTGGGCTTGGACGGGCCTGGGCGTGTGACCACAAGCAGCCGCTGGCACCAGCTGTGAGGCCCAGAGGCACCTGCCAGGCTGTGCGTCTTGGTGTCCTGGGCTCGGAGGGCGCAAGGGCGGCACGTGAGGGAGGACCGCGCACCCGGGAACCGCCCCTCGGCTCCCCTGTGCCTGCTGGTCCCTCTCCGGCGGGATGCCCCTGGAAGGGAGTGCCCACGCTGGTACCTGACCCCGACCCCACCACGTCCCTCCTTAGACAGCGAGGACAGGAATGCAGCCCACCCCGACCCCGCCCTCGTGGCACGCCATGGGGGCCGTGAAAGCCCAGCAATCCGTCTCCGGGTCGTACATCTCCACGGAGCTGAGGTTTGACTGTCCATCATAGCCCCCCACGGCGTAGAGGCGCCCACAGCTGGCCACCAGGGAGACGCGGCTGCGGCGCGTGAGCATGGGGACGAGG